ATCAAAGAAGAAAGTGAAAAGGCAGGCTTAATGCTGAACATAAGGAAAACAAAAATAATGGCCACTGAGGACCTTCACAAGTTCAACCTAGGCAATGAAGAAATAGAAATAGTAAAAGAATTCCCACACCTGGGATCAAACATTGATAGCAATGGGAACTGCAGTCAGGAAATCAGAAGAAGACTGAGGGCCTCTGCAGACCGGCCCAAAGGGCCAGCCTAGAGACAGAGTTGGAGTGGGGCAGCCGCACACTGGCCACCCCAACTCCACACCGATGCGGTCCTGATGCCACACGCTGTTACCCACAGCATATGGTGTCAGGACGCCCTTCCGGCGCAACATGGGGTTGCCGCGGCCCTGATCCACTGCTTTCCAGGGTGGCTCTGTGCCACCCATCTGCAGTCCCCTAAGAATGGGGATTGTGGCTATGAAAGAACTAGAAAAGTTCCTAAAGTGTAAAGACATACAACTCAGCACAAAAATTAGAATCATAGAAGCGATTGTATTCCCTATTACCATGTATGGATGTGAGAGTTGGACAGTTAAGAAAGATGATAGGAAGAAAATCAACGCATTTGAGATGTGGTGCTGGAGAAGAGTGCTGAGGATCCCATGGACAGCCAAAAGAACAAATAAGTGGGTCCTAAAGCAGATCAAGCCGGAAACCTCCCTGGAAGCCAAGATGACCAAACTGAGACTGTCGTACTTTGGACACATCATGAGAATGGAGGACTCTTTGGAAAAAAAACAATAATGCTGGGGAAGGTGGAGGGAAGTAGGAAGACAGGAAGGCCACATGCCAGATGGATGGACTCTATTAAGGAGGTCACAGGTATTAAGGGGTTGTGGGAATTAAGCAGAGTAGTAGAGAACAGAGGGTCTTGGAGAGGTCTCATCCACAGGGTCGCCATGAGTCAAGATTGACTTGAGGGCAGTTAACAACAACAAACAAGGAAACAACACATATGAAAAGGGAAGTAAAGAGGTTGTCTTTTTGGCTCCATAGACATAATGGGAGGCTTTCCAAAGGACAAGCAGTGGGTGGGGGGATTCTCTTCCACTCTGTAGCAACAGCAACAGAGCTGGTTTTGTAAGTGGAAGCAAGAAGCCCCCTTTTACTATCTCTTTACTATGAGAGAAGGGTAGCTTGGAGAGCAAAGGGACTTTCTTTCCTTAATCTCTAAAGCAATTTAAAGTATTACTTCTAATGGCTTGTTGTTGCTATTGTTGTTGTTCTGTGCCTTCAAGTTGTTTCTGACTTATGGCAATACTATCATGGGGTTTCCTTGGCACGTTTCTTCAGAGGGAGTTTGCCATTACCATCCTCTTGAGGCTGAGAGAGTGTGTCTTGCCAAAGGTCACCCAATGGGTTCCCATGGCCAGGCCAGGATTCCAACCCTGGAGTCTCCAGAATCATAGTCCAGCACTCAAACCACTGCACCACATTGGCTGTATTTCTAACAGTACTAAATATTTTAAAATGTGATGGGCCAGTGCAGGGAGTGGTAGCTGGGACAGCAAAGGAAAGAGATGAGGGAATTAGGCACAACCACTTCCACTATCACAGCCCACATCACAGGCATGACCACAAAGGATCCTAGAATGTGACTTTAGCATTTAGACATAGAAGCAAGCAACAGAAAGCATCAAGAACTGACAAGATGCTGCAATATTAAATGGTACAACACAAACCGGCACAAATCACCAGTCTAGCAGAACCTTTTCTCTCTCTTAGACAGCCTTCAACAGTTAACTGTGTGCTTTCTATTCTTTTATATTACCTCCATTTTGGATCTTGTCTCTATTGATCCTGAGTATCTTAGAAGAATACTTCTGACACCCAGGCATCCACCCAGAATTACTCATGCAGTCAGATCAATGCTAGTTTCTGGATTAGCTCTACCAAGCAGGGAGTAGCCTGTTCTGAGGTGGAACAAAGTTGGGATTGATTCTTAGGGCACATTTAAGTAGATAACTTGTCATTACTTCATGCTCTAGAATGCCTTATTTCCAAGAAATTGATAAAGGGTTTGCAGATGTACACAGAGACATGTGCTCCAAGCAGGCCGATATCAAGTGTTACACAGTGGCAGAAATAAGAGTTTTAATGATAGAAATAAAAAGGTCTTACTTTGTGTCTGAAGCTGCAAATGTCATCATAAGTAACCCATACATTATCCTTAAAAGCATATGGAACTTTTTGGGCATCCAACCATCGTACTTCTGCATCCTTTAGGAAATCGCAAACCTATCAAAAGAGTAAGGCATGACTACTAGAGTCAAGATTTATCTTGAAACAAATTGGCACTAGCTTTATATTTCTCAGTTTATGCATTTATTAAAGACCATGACAACTAATCCCATCCCCTCATTTTTGTACCATCCAGCTGGATGAAAATTTCCGCAAAGTTCAAAATCTCACACATGTTTGTGACACTTTTTTGACCCTGACAAAGATATTACACAATTCTGAATGTTGTTGTGATGTTTTCATTATTTTAATAGTTATTGAGAATATGATGTTACTGGGGCTGTTGACATGGACCAAAAGGTCCGTGTTCCCATCAGCCTTGTGCTGACCTGTTTAGACAATAAAAGCCAATGGCCTGGGCTGAGATCAGGCAGACCAGACACCAATCCAGTGGTCCCAGTCTGATCCCAGCACAAAGATCAAAAAGACCCACCATTTGCCAGCAAGTTTCTAAGAAACTCTGCTGCAATACCTGGCAGATCAGATGGCCCTGAACACCTCTTATCTTCCTCCACCATTGCCTCTACTGAGAAGACCCCTGTCACAGTATCTGATGTGGAAACAGAGTGCCTGGACATTTGGATGCAGCCAGACACCCCTTCTCCACATCAGACACAGCCATGGGGGCTTCTCAGTAGGGGTACATGGTGGTAGTGGGTCCATAGTGTGGTGGAAGGCAGATGTGCAAACACTAACCCATCCCCATGTCAGCTTGGGGACCAACTCAGGTTAGGACCCAGGTCAAGATAGTACAGACTTGCCCCATGCTATCCTGGCCCATCTGCACAACCCTCTCTAAAGCCACCTTGATTGTTATGGCAGAAAGGCAGGATACAAGAATTAAAAAGTTATATGGCAGAGAAGGAATAAAATACGGTTCAAATTCTGACTCAGAATGAGATGCACAGAAGGGTGTGTTTTCTACCACAGGCCAGCACTTTGTAGCATTCAGTTGTAGGGGGGAAGTGGGGGATCCCAAGTATTTTAGTATGACAAAAAGAACAATAGTTACTTTTGAAACATGATATAACAACAATAACTAGACTTTGACCAATAACTGTAACTAATTACTTTTAAAACTTTCAAAGCTCTATCATGGAGCTACGACATTTTCATTTTAAGACATCATGTTCTCTCAGCTTTCATGCTTTCATGTGTTTTAAGTCATCTCCAACTTTTTGTGGCCCTTTCATAGGGTTTTCTTGGAAATATTTATTCAGAGGAAATTTGTCATTGCCTCCCTGTTTAGACAGAGATTATGACTTCCTCAAGATCACCTAGTGGTTTCCATGGCTGAGCAAGAATCTGAATCCTGGTCTCCTGGAGTCCTACCTAACATTCAAACTGCTATACCATACTGGTTCATATATCTCATACATTCATACCTCAAAGTAAGCCCAGTATCCAGCCTCTTCTGTATATGGACCAGCTGGACCAGCCCCAGAGATTGAAGTACAGAGTCCTGCCTCACCACTGCTCCAAAGCCCAAAGGAGCGTCCATAGGTGGGGAACCCCATGAGCAGCTTCTCAGCAGGAGTGCCTTGGTCCCTCCAGTACTCCATAGCATATTTCTGTCAAAATACAGTGGAAGATGTTTGAAATATATCCTCAGCCTTTTAAAAAGAATAAGGAGAATAAGGAAAAGGAGGGGTATTAAAAGACTCTTTACTCACACAGTTGAAAATGTCAACATCACACCACTCAGGGCCTGCATATAGTGGACTGTTGCATCCAGTGGTAGAGTCCCAGTCACCATGAAAGTCATACGTCATTACACTGATGAAATCCAGCAGTCTGGTGCAAATCAAGAAAAATCACTTAGGAAGCAATGGCTCATCAGACACCAAATCCAACTACCTTATTTATTGTGTGATTGTAGAAAAGTGAACTAAAATGCTACCAATGAGATGTGGTTTCACTTTATACTTGCTCCACATCTATATCTAGGGTACATCTACACAAGCCAAATAAAACAGTTTCACCTAGTTTTCACTACAAGCTGTCTAATGACATATGGAATGATTGGAGCCACATTTGGGCCTTTTAATCATATCAGGGCTTAAATCCAGAGGAAACAAAGTGGGGATTTATCTTGGTTTTGAGCAAAAAATATTGATATTTGTGTGTTTGTGTGGACTACAGTCCATAGAGACATCAGTGTGGGGCCAGGGGAAGAGTTCAGAAATACGTACATTTGGATGCATAGAGGAATGGGGGAACCCATAGCAGCTATGGCCATGTGGCCACAAATACTGTGATTTATTGGACCAGAGTAAGTTTGAAAATGAGAACTGTGTGTGTCCAATGCTCCCGAACTTTCCTCGGTGTGTGACAATCATGAGGATAAGCACATGGGACGTGATCACACGTGGGCCAGTTTCGTTGTTAAAGAGATAATAAAGTGGAAATGAAGCATCCCGAAAAGAAAGAGAAAATAGAGTGCAATTTCGCAAAAGCTTTTCACATGTAATTACAGTAATAAGTTAAAAGTGAAAAGAAGACGTTTTTAACTTTCATACACAAGTGA